GAACCCCCAGAAAGTAAAGACAAAATAATATTCCCTATATGGTGCCCTTACAAGGAAGAATATTGTCATTTTTTGGGGGGGTTTCCTAAGCAATTAGTAGCAAAAGAACCCCTGAGCCCAAACCCATACCTCTAAATCTCTGTGCCTTAGTCTCATCCCCATCTGGTGTAGTATCTGAACAACCCCAAACCCTGAAACTCTAACCCTACAAGCCTACAAGACTACAAGCCGAAGCCCCTAGCCCCCGAAACCCGAAGCCCTAAACCCCCCTGTACCCTGCAGCGGACTGATATGCTCCAAGGTATCACGCGGGCGCAAAACGCAACGAGGCCCTTTGCCAGGGGCTCGGCTTGCCCTTCCCCTGAGGGCTCAGGATTTAGTTGTAGGGTCTGCAGGGCTTCGGGTTTGGGGTTTAGGGCTTACAAGGGCTTACAAGGGCTTACAAGGGCTTACAAGGGCTTACAAGGGCTTACAAGGGCTTACAAGGGCTTACAAGGGCTTACAAGGGCTTAGGGTTTAGGGTTTAGGGTTTAGGGTTTCAGCTGTTAACCCTCAGCCCGCATAGTTTAAACCTTCTTTGCCTCCTTATCCCCACAAATGCTTGTGTTTCGGCCGCAGGACGCCGCAGGCGTTGAAAGGTCATAGTTCCTCAGCCCTATCAGTTATCAATGGTTTAGGGTTTAGGGTCTAGCGAAGACTGAAGGCGGTGCTCTTCCCTCCCCTTGCCCATTCAGCAACCCTACACCCTAACCCCCCCCCCCCCCACACCCTCAACTACAAGAAAACAGGAACCCTAAACCTAAGGTGTCCTAGGGCGCGGGCACCTAAGCTTCTAAAACTCTTAAACCCCTGAAACCCTAAATCTTCCCCAGAGTCGATTGTCAGATGTCCACCCCTCATCATAGCAGCAGTTCTCAAGTCGTTAGGATAGTAGCCCCCTTATTCCTACCGGGAAGGGTGGGGATTTCTGGTCATCCACACTTCCGAAACTCGTTGGTTCAGGGTTTGTTGCTTCGGGCCTGGCAGAGCCTTCAGCTGTTGATCTGTGACCCTGAGACCTGAACCCTGAACCCCAAACCCTAAACCCTAAACCCTAAACCTGCTTAGCAACCCTCACATTGCCATCCCACCCTCGGAGCCTAAGCCTGCGAAACTGCGAAGTCCTAAGGGGTTTAGGGTTTAGGGTTTAGAGTTTAGAGTTTAGGGTTAGGGTTTAGGGTTTAGAGTTTAGGGTTTGGGGTTTGGGGTTTAGGGTTTAGGGGTTGGCATCCCCCTGAAGTAGGATCTCAAAACCTACCTGACAGCGTTTCTCAGGGCTTAAGAATTCTGGGCTTTTGGGTTTCAGGTGTGAACGCTTCCACCTGGACCACTCCCGTTTTTGGAACCCTAAACCCTAAACCCCTTAGAGGTAAAGTTCCGAGATAGTGCATGGGGCCGATGTGGGGGTCTGTGGGGGGGGGGTGGGGGGGGGAGCAGAGGCCTTTATATGTTACGTGCAAGGGGTACCCTAACCCCTAAACCCTAAACCCTAAACCCTAAACCCTAAACCCTAAACCCTAAACCCTAAACCGCTCAGGTCACTGAGGTGCGGCGCATCTGCGAGATTCGGCCGCAAAACTCGCCGATGACCCTCGAGTGGCGGCCACAGAGTTCCACCCTCCACGCGCCCCTACGTATTCCTTCAGTGGTTTGGGGTTTAGGGTTTAGGGTTTAGGGTTTAGGGGGTAGGGGGTAGGGGGTAGGTTAAGGGGTTTAGGGTTCAGGGTTTGGGGCTGTGGGGATCCTTAAGAAGGGATCCCAAAAAAGGGTACAACCTTAAGGGTCCAAGGTAGAACCCCTACTTGGAGGTTCATGGTACTTATCAAGCAGCTATAGCTGTGCTGATAGATGCACTGAGGACCATCTTCGGGCACTGAAGGGGCTTATAAGTGGGTTAGAAGTACAGCTATCATTTGTTTAATAAGTACCCTGAACCCTAAACCCTAACCCGAAACCCTAAACCCTAAACCCTAAACCCTGAACCCTAAACCCTAAACCTCCAAGTGGGGTTTGGGCTTTGGGGTTCACCCTTAGGAGTTGCTAGGCTGTGCTTCAGGTCTGAGTTCTAGAGTTTGGGGCTTGCCCTTGAAGCTGCTGCATCCTCTGAAGAACTTTAGGGTTTAGGGTTTAGGGTTTAGGGTTTAGGGTTTAGGGTTTGGGTCTGAACCCCCAGCCCTACACAACCCCTCCCCCCTTCGTGGGGTTATTGGGTGTCCCGTTAAGAAGATGCAGCTTTGATGTTTCAGGGACTGTGGCCGTATAAACCCTACCAGGGTCTCTTTCATTCAGGGCAAGTAAACTCCAAAAAGTTGGAACATGGATTCAGGATGATTGAGGCTGGGATTCGCTTTAGCAATTATACCTTTTGCGGTATGGGGACAAGGATGTTCCAACTTTTTTGGAGTTTCCTGTAAACCCTAAACTCTACAACCTACAGGCCCCCAGATCAAAGTGATATTGGGGCCCCCTGGGCCCTAAACCCTAAACCTTAAACCCTAAAACCCTAAACATTGGGGCTCCTGGGTCCTCCGAGGTATCGCGTCGAAATGGCCACCGACCGCTCGGCAATGCAGCCGCACCTGCTATCGAGGCTCAGGCGCTTTGAGGGTTTAGACTTTAGTGTTTCGGGTTTAGGGTTTAGGGCTTAGGGTGTCCCATTGAGGGGGGCGCTCTAGTGCTAAAGTGAAGGCTTGGCTTTCTGGATCTTACGGCTCCAGGCGTCCGGTTTGGTCTTGGGGCTGGCTCCACGTGCCTCGAGTCCTTGGCAAGCCAAGCGATTCATGTTCTGTACATCAGATTTGGCGTTGGTTGGTGGCGATACGTGCCGAAAAACACGGCCTCCCAGCCAAAATGTGCTAAGGGCTTTTTAGGGACCTGACGTGACCCCCCATACAGAAATTGTTGGCTTCCTTCGTTTTCTACTCGGACCCGGTAAGGCGCAGACATGGGGAGGGCCGGGGGCCATAGGGTTGTTCTAAGTTTGGGACCACTGGTAGGTAGTTGTGGGATGAGGTGTGAAGGCTTACAAGGCTTCGGGTTCGCAACAGAACTCCCAACAGAGACCTCGACGTAGATCACCCCCCCCCCCCCCCAAAAAAAGAAAGGATGTTTGTGTATCTATTTTTCACTTCCTGCAGTTTTAGGTAATGCTACGGAGAGTGCTGGTAGTTTCGTGTGGGGCTTACTCCGAAACCCTAAACCCTAAACCCTAAACCCTAAACCCTAAACCCTAAACCCTAAACCCCCAAACCCCGAATCCTCGAAGCTCAGCGAGCCAGGAAGGTCGAGTCCATCTCCTGACATGGGCTCCCGCTTCTTCACCCTGCTTCTTAGCAGGGAATGAGGGAAGGAGGGCCCTATCTATTTAGGGTTTAGGGTTTAGAGTTTAGGGTTTAGGGTTTAGGGTTTAGGGTTAGGGTACCTCCTTCCCTCATTCCCTACTAGGAACCAGCCAGTTCTTCCCAGAAGTGGAGGGAAGGCTTACGGTCTTTGGGGGGCTACATGAGCCGAGGGCTCCCTAGACCCTAACCCCTACGGGTCCCAGGCTACGGGTGCACTGAATGAGTACTCGTCCGCATGCTTGAATAGGGACCTGGAGAGGTTGGGGGTATGTGATCTCCGAGTAGGGTAGCTAAGGAGAATTTAGGGCCATGAAGTAGTCCGGCTTAGTAAAGTTGAGCATATCGAAAGTGCCCAGGACAGTTCTTAGAGTGTTGGGGAGGTTTGAGAAGTAACGGGTCGATTTAACTATGGGTGGCAAGGTGATAGCGGCAATGATTCAAGCTCCATGAACAACTAACCCTAAACCCCAAAAGAACCGTAGTTCGCAAGCAGCCTGGCGTAAGTCAAATAGGGCACGTGAGGAACCTAAACCCTAAACCCTAAACCCTAAACCTCAGGCTGTTAGGACTGGGGGTTGAAATAGGTGAGGCGAGGCAATGACCCGCCACAGGCATGGCATTTTCACCCCTCAGCTAGAATACCAAGCGATGCGGAAAGCTTGAGGCTTAGGGTTTAGGGTTTAGGGTTTAGGGTTTAGGGTTTGAGTTTTCGGGTTTAGGGCGTAGAGCTTGGGATAGTTTCAGCTGGCTAGGTTGAAAGGGGTTTCAAGGGCCAACCTGGGGTAGAGGATGTTAGGGGTTTGGGGCCCCGGGGTGCAGCATGGGGTTTAGGGTTTGGGGTTTGGTGTTTGGGGTTTGGGGTTTGGGGTTTAAGAGTTTGAGGTTCTCAAACCCTGCTGCCTGGACCCAAGCATCGTCTGAAGCCCTGAGAATAGAGCCCTTCACGACTGCACCCTTGAACAAGCATTGCATACCTACGTCCTAGGCAGGATAAGGGGGACCCTTAAAAGGGAGCCCCTTCTTAACCCTCTTCTGGCTCTCTTAAACAGGGACCTTATTCACAGGGTCTATATCCCCAAGGGTCCCCCTAATCCTATCCCCTAGTACGATCGCCCTCTGTGTATCTCGCGTGAGTCAGTGATCCTCGGCCACCTGTTTATGATTTTCAGTGGGTTTGCCCGTGGAGGTTGCTCTTCACGAAGTCTCAGTATTTGTGGGTGCCTCTGTCGGCAGGGTGAGCCTGGGAATTCTGTAGGCACGCTTGTCAGTTGGAACTCAGCTACGGCGTTTTGTTCATGGGTAGCTATAAGCAGGGTTACTTTTGACTCCGAGTGTTAGCAACCATGATGCCCATCAACCTTCAAGTAAGTTGCGAATGTGACTCCAACATGCTACTTGTTACACGCGGGCCTCCTTCCGTGACATTTTCGGCCTTCCGCCGGAGAGCAACAAAAGAATCTTGCACCACACCCCCGCCCCAGATAGCCGACTGCAAAACCCCTGAAGCAAGGAGTTTAATTACCTTGAATCATGTTACCTACTCAGCTTACAGTATGTTCCTGAATCAAGGGGCATGTGGCTCTTTGACTCTATTTCAAGTTTGATACATCACGGGCGGCCATGGTTGCTCCACCACCCCGTGCTTTGTGCAACCAATCTTCCAACATTCGCGACGGGCCCGCCGGAGCAAGGCCCTAAACCCTAAACCCTAAACCCTAAGGCACTTTGAAACAGGGCCTGAACTCTAAACCCTGAACCCTCAGCTAGGATTTTCGGCGGTTCGATTCCCTTCACAAGAAGCCCAACCTGGAACTCTAAACCCTAAACCCTAAACCCTAAACCCTAAACCCTAAACCCTAAACCCTAAAGAAGCCCAACAGGGAAACTGTAGTATCTCCAGGCGCGATCCAAACTGGGGCCGTGTTCGGGGCTTTCAGAAAGCATTGGTTCCTGCGACTTTACCAACTCGGCCACTCCGAAAGGCCACTTTAGGGCTTAGGGTTTAGGGTTTAGGGTTTAGGGTTTAGGGTTCAGTCCTGCGCACCCTGCGATACGTCGCTCTTGAGGCAGTGGCCCGTTCCCTGGCGCTACGGCTTCTGGGCAGCACGGCCCCAAGCCCTAAGCCTCCAGCACCCTGTAAGCTGCCTTAAAGCCCGGAGCCCGTTTTAAGCCTGTGTTTATAGGGTTTAGGGTTCTGGGGTTTGGGTTTAGGGTAAGTTTCGGGTTTAGGGGTTTTGGGGTTTAGGGTGAAAACCCTTAAAAAACGTTTAAGCCCTCAACCCTAAATGCACGTTGACACCTAGCAATGCCCGGTAGTGGCCGCAAGGGGTGAGACCGTCTTAGCACAATCCCAGACCCAAAATTCCTGCACTTGTAGTTACTTTAGGATTTGTAGGACCCTAAACCCTACACGCCAAACCCGAGACCCCTAAGCGCGCGCACTTTCAAACTCAGGCTGGGCTTCGATCCGCCACGAGCTGGGCTCTGTGCTCGACAACTCCGCCGACTTTTTCCGGCAGCTGTCTGTGAGGAGGCCTGGAAGGGAGGGTGGAAGAAGGGGTGCGAATACTCTCAAACCTTTGTCGTAGTGGGGTAACATTTTGCATGTTTAAGGGTACTTAAGCTCAATAAGGAATAACAAATTTAAAATCTTTAACACGATCCCAACCATGAACTAGAAGCCTAAACCGGTTGTTTGGGATCTCTACGCCCTTTCCTGGAAGGCCCCAACATTGAGTCAACAATCGTGTAGCCTCCGAAGCTCTTGTGAAACTCAAGAGAACGCTTAGCTTCGCTGCTCCTAACCCTAAACCCCCATCAACACAGAGGGCGGCCCTCATCTACTCCAAATTTACCCTCCACCCCCCCCCCCCCTCTAAACCCTAAACCCTAAACCCTAAACCCTAAACCCTAAACCCCATAGGATTTCTACCTTTCAAGCAAGGCACTTCAAGTGGCTCCTGGCCTGGTTCTCGACAACTGCCCACACCAACATCTGGCTCAGCGGATGCCCACTAGGTCGGACGCAGGGTTTAGCGTTTAGGATTTAGGGTTGAAGGTTTGGGGGTTAGGGTTTAGGATTTAGGGTTTAGGGTTGAAGGTTTGGGGGTTTAGGGCTTCGGGGTGTCAGATCGGGGGGGTTAAGCAGCCCCGAGGTAGTCCGTAGGGCATTTCTCCCATTGAGTGCAAGCGTGCTGAGGTGTCCAGGAGAGTCAGCGTAGAGTGCTCCACACAGTTGGAATCGCCTTAGGATTTGGACCCTGAACTCCCTAAGCCCTGCACCCCAAACCCTGTCACTGACATACTCCACCACTGAATCACTCTAGCCCCACAGACGGGAGACTTAAGGTTTAGGGGATCAACCACAGAACTCGCAAGGTGTCCTGACATTGAGACTGTTCACGGTCCTGATCTCCAACGATGCTGATCGTTGCATACAGATGCGCGATGCGAGGATGGGGTGCCTTGGCCAGTTGATGGCATACCTACTTGGAGGTTCATGGTACTTAGTAACCCAGTTATGACCCTATTAGGGTACTTGAGGGGCCTATATGTGGGTGACAACTACACTTATAATGCGTTGCCAAGACCCTAAACCTCCAAGAAGGGTTTGGCAACCCTGTGATGTGCGCAAACCTCATTTCTCACCAGGGTCTGCTGCTTAATATGAGCAAGAGCTTGTGGCATGGCACACACATGCGCATACATATCATGGGCTATCGCATGCCTAAAACTTCCACAAAAGCCCATAGCTGTCCTCGTACTCATGGCAACTCCAGCTTGGATCTCATCCACGTGCCCTTGGCCGACGTCGTGGAGTCTGGCTGGCCAGCATTTCGTATCTGGGTCATTGTTGAAGACCATTTTACACTTTTATGCATACTTAAACCCAATAAGGAACAAAAATGATCATTTCTAATAGTGCCCCAACAATGGTGCAGGTATCTGGGGTGCTGGGCAGTGTAACTTTGTCACCTTTTTTGGTCGGTGCGGGTGTAGGCTTCAGAGGGCTGCCGGGTTGTAGGCCATTGAGCTGTTGTGGGCCAAATTGGGGTAAACCCTAAACCCTCTAAACCCTAATCCCTCAACTCTTGTGTGTGGTTCCCTTACAGGGTGTTATGGAGGATCGTGTTGGAAAGTCCAACCGAGTGCAGAGCCAAGGAATCCTGGCCCTCCTGGCAGAGGACCTTCCGCCTTAGAGTGACCTTAGGGATTCTTGGGAATATGTTCTAGTTTTTGGGTACTGTAATTCCTAAGAAACAGCTGAAATGCTAATTTTTGCCAGGGTTCCAGGTTCAGTATAATGATAGGGGAGGCCAAGTTCAAAGAAGAGAATGGCAACGGCTTTTGCTGAGTCATCGGACGCTTAGGTAGTAAAGGGTATGGGTCTGAATGCAGCGTTCTCGGTTCAGGATTTTGATCTTGAAGTGGCTAACGCTGCGCCCTCCATGGCCGTGCGGCATAGTTCCCCAAGTCAGGGTCCGTCATGCCTCGCGCCTACAGACAACGAAAGGGCCGGCATCAACTTCTCAGAAAGGCAGAAATAGGAAGCCAACACACACCGCGAAGCCCCACAAGCCTCTCACCCACCTTGATACCCTTAAGCCTTAATAAGGGTATATCCTGACACACTTGATACCCTTAAGCCTGAATAAGGGTATCCTTAAGCAGAACCTCCGACCTCCGAGAATTCGTTCCCCCCCCCCCCCCCCGCACCACTGCCCTATGAGCCTGAACGCTGACATGGGGGTAGATTCGCTTGATGAGGGTCCTGTTTTTTTAGGGTTTCTATTCGTATATTACTTACAATGTGTCAGGCTATAAGATCGTCGATTGATAGTGTATATCTTAACATGAATATACTGTAGCTTGTATACCTTAGTATAACTTAGTATAACTTATATACTCTCCATTATCCGTACCCAATACACATTTAAAATCTGGCCGTTCAGTTTCAACCTGAAACCCTAAACCTTAACCCTAAGTGCCCCCAATCATTTGGAGAACCGGTGGCCAGGAGCAACGTCGGATCAGCCACTGGCGCTGCAGTTTTGGGGTTTAGGGCTTGGAGTTTACGATTTAGGGCTTTAGGGGTTAGGGTTTAGGACTTCAGGTTCAGGGTTTAAGGTACAGTTTAACGGTTTTAGGGTTTAGAGCTCAGGGTTTCGAACTTGGGTCAGAAGCCTCGACTCGTCGTCTTTTCACTAAACCCGAAACCCCAAAGCCCAAACCCAACCAGCCGAAACCCATTTTGGGGTTTGGGAGTTCGGTGCCCTTGCCTACCACACCACCATGAGCTGCAGGCTATCCTCTTGACAGCGCCTGCGACAACTTAGACTCCTCGTCTGGAAGGCGCGTAGCCCTAAACCCTCAATCCTCAACCCGAAACCCTAAACCCTTCAAAGGTTCAAATAGGCCTTTGTTGGCGTGCATTTAGGCGTCAAGCTTGTACCCCTCGGCAACCCGACATATTTCCAGCCAATGGTCATTTCTTCCCCTGCAGGAGATCGTTCAAAAGCGTCCGCGAACCCAAGGGGTACCCTAAACCCTAAACCCTAAACCCTAAACCCTAAACCCTAAACCCTAAACCCTAAACCCTAAACCCTAAACCCTAAACCCTAAACCCTAAGTCCAAGGAAGAGTCCCTTGATTCCAGAGACTTTTCGGGTTCGGGGCTTAGGGTTCAAGGGCTTCGAACTCCTAAATCAAGCCACTCCTGGGGGAACCGGGGTCTGTTGGGGTCCTCCACCTTGGCATCTACCTACAGGATCTTAGTAGAAAATTCGGGAATGAGCCCCTATGAAGGACCTACTGCCAGAGGATGCAGCGCGAGCCAAGTTCCCAGCCTTCCTGCAGGGCCTTCCGAACACAGCTTGCCGCGGCGCTGGCAGCGCGCAGCACGCTGCCCCTTGCAGAGGCTCCCGCAGAAGAATATCACCCTAAACCCTAAACCCTAAACCCTAAACCCCAAACCCTAAACCCTAAACCCTAAACCCTAAACCCTAAACCCTAAACCCTGAGGGGGGAGCATCCCGAAGCTGCGGTGTGTACAGCGTCTCTTTGTTCTCTTGTTTCTTGACTACACCTTGCTTAAGAACCCCCAACACAGGAAAAAAACAACACCTATATTGCCCTCACCAGGAAGAATATTTCTCGTTTTTTTTTTGGGGGGGGGAGGGGGTTCTTAAGCAATTGGAAGTTCATATTTTTTTGGGGGGGGGTCAATTGAAAATCAAAAAGGGCTCAGGGGAGTTGAGGAGGCTTTTTGTTTCTGCGTTTGGGGTATTAAGTCTTCAAGTGGCTGGGCATTGGATGGAGAAGCTCGTTGGGGCTTCTGATTCATTACCGACCCTAAACCCTAAACCCTAAACCCTAAACGAGCCTCAAGCAGAAGTGCACCTTGCGGTGCTCATTATTCGTGAGACGTGCGGGCGGTTCCTTACGTCGTGGTCCCTGCTCAGGGGATCGATCCTATTTTGTTCTAACCCTAAACCCTAAACCCTAAACCCTAAACCCTAAACCCTAAACCCTAAACCCTAAGTCTCACACTTCAAGGCCCAAGAGCCAGTCTCCACACCCCTGCAATCAGAGAGCCCGGGCAACTTGGGGAAACCCTGAACCCTGGACCCACTGTTGGCCCCCCCCCCCCCCCCCCCCAAAAAAAAAAAAAAAACAGGGACTTTCAGCTTCAGAGACCTACAGTAGCATCACTGGAACCTAGACCTGAACCTGAAACCCTAAACCCCAAACCTTGGGGGTGGTCTGAGGTAAGGCTTGTGGTCGAGAAGCGTTTCGGGCTTCGGGCTTCAGGGTTCAGGGGGTTAGGGTTTAGGGTTTAGGGTTTAGGGTTTAGGGTTTAGGGTTTAGGGTTTAGGGTTTAGGGTTTAGGGTTCAGGGGGTTAGGCATCAAGGTCTGAGTACTGAAATCTGAACCAAGGCGGAGGCACACCTGCGCGAGCAGCCAGACCGCAGTTCAAGCAGACCCCAAGGGTGCAGGGTGTAGGGTGTAGGGTTTAGGGTTTAGGGTTTAGGGTTTAGGGTTTAGGGTTTAGGGTTTAGGGTTTAGGGTTTAGGGTTTAGGGTTGAGAGTTAGCCTTACTTCAAAGGGACTACAAACGCGTTCCTTTGTTCACCTTGTTCCTTCTTTTTGTAGGGCCAGGTTCCTTGTGAACTTGGGAGTAAGAATGGGTAACCTCTTCTTCTTGTGTCAAGAGGCGGGGGGGGGGGGTAGGGTTTAGGGTTTAGGGATGTGGGGTTCTTAGGTTTAAGTTGGCTTGTGTGGAGGGGGGGAGGGTGGGGGAGGGGTGTGGCGGGTCTCTTGAGGATTCAGGGTTTGGGGGTTAGGTCAGGGCGGCTGCGTTGGCGCGCGAAGCACGGCGATTTTCTGTTGCTGTGAGACACCGATCTGACAGACCTGGTATATTTCTAGTCTCTGCATGTTGCTATTTTTTTTTTTTTTTTTTTTTTTTTTTTTTTTTTTGCGAGGGGGCGCTGAACAGTAGGAGATGTCACGAAACGCAGTTGTCAGTAAGTATGTCAAAGGGCAAAGCAACCATATTTATAACATCTTGACATAAATAACAATACAAACATAATAAATAGAAAGATAAAAATGTAAATATGAATATAACTATAAATAGAAGCCTAAATATACGAAGAAAAATAAACAAATAATATATACATATATATATAATACGAATAAGTGTACATATATATGCATATATATATATATATATTGTAAACGCTATGAAGAAGAAAACCTTCCATCACTCGCCCTGAACCCAGGCCACCTCCTCGTTGCGTGCTGGGCGATGCTGCGGCGTACTTCGTGTTGGCCGCGGCCCGGGACTGAGAGATACCTCGATTGATTCAGTTGGGTGTAGGGTTTAGGGTTTGGGGTTTAGGGTTTAGGGTTTAGGGCTTGGGGGTTTAGAGTTTGGGGGTCAGGGGTATATTATGGTGCGCTGGAAAGTTTGTGACGCGGCGATAGCAGCTGGGCAACTGAGGGCACACAGCGAGGCCACCCTTAAACCGTGCAATATAGGGGTCGGAGTAATTACTAAATAGTATTCCCCTTTATGGTCCCTTTGTAATTATAATATGATAACCTCCCAAAACCCTATTCTAATAATTCAGGTCCCGAAACCCCAAACCCTAAACCCTAGCCCTAAACCCTAAACTCCAAACCCCAAAACCCTATTCTGCTTATGAAGGCCCCTGTATGTTGGTCGGCCTGAAGCAACCCATGCCAAGTCGCACGACGCCTCGGCTCCGCAGCATCGCGAACTCCTGGAGAAAGGACGCCACTACCAGGGGTTTAAGGGTTTAGGGGGGAGGGTTTAGGGTTTAGGGTTTAGGGTTTAGGGTTTAGGGTTTAGGGTTTAGGGTTTAGGGTTTAGGGTTTAGGGTTTAGGGTTTAGGGTTTAGGGTTTAGGGTTTGGGATATCAGGGGCTTCCCTACTACCCCCCTCTATACTACCCCCCTAGGTTCCCCCCTTCAGTATATTTGATTCGGCTTAACAGACGTTCCCCTAACAAACCGTACTTCTAGGGGGGGGGGGAACCTAGGGGGTAGCATGGAGGGGGTAGCAGGGGAACCCATGACAGTAACGATTTAGCATTCAGGGTTTGGGAGCGGTCTCGGTTTGATGAGAATTGAGGGCATTGGGCATGCTTGCACAGGACAAGCAGTTCTGCTCGAGTGGACGCCGCCGCTCGGCAAAGCCTGCGGCCTCTGGAGCGGTACAGGATTGCTTGTCGCGCGTCATATGCCCCCCAGGTTTGCTTACTTCGTGGCATGGCCTCTAGCAACGTGATTCCCCTGTGACACCCTTGTTCCCCACCCATTCTCAAACGACTTGGCAGCCTAGTGGACCGACCAAAGCCCCAAAGCCGAGTTAGACCCCCAAAAACCCTACCCCCTGGATCCATCCCGTTTGATCAAAAGGATAAGGAGGGACCCCTAGAAGGGACCCTTAATCTTATTCCCCTATATAACCCCTGCATGTACCTTTTTGTACTCCCAATACAACCTAAGTAGCCCCAACATAACCCCTAAATAACCCCAAAGGCCCCCTATCAGGGTCCCTCCTTTAGTCCCTTGAAATCCCACACCCGCCTCAAGACAGGGGCTTTTTTGCGCATCCAGTTCGCCAACACAAGAACGAGAGCGAACGATCTTCTGCCCTAAGTCCTCAAAGCCTAAGCCCTAAACCCTATAAGCCCTAAACCCTAAACCCTAAAAGACCTAAATACCGTACAAACCCTACAAACCCTACAAACCCTACAAACCCTACAAACCCTACAAACCCTAAACCTTAACAGGCCATTCCCGGGGTTCGAGCGTCTTATGGGAGTTGAGGGTTTTGGGAGATCGGAGGGCTCCTGGCCCTAAACCCTAAGCCCTCAAAACGCACAATCCTCAGCTCCGCCAAACCCCGGGAGATTCAGCCGAGGCTCCGGCGATCCCTCTACGACATCTTAACCACCCGCTGGCCGGTATGGAGGGTGCTTTGGCTTCGGGCGCCCATGCACCCACACCCCCAAACCCTAAACCCTAAACCCTAAACCCTAAACCCTAAACCGATTGCTGTTGTTTGGTGCTGGTTGATCTGTAGACCCCTTAGGATTTGTTGATGTATACATTTCAAAAGAACATCATAAATAGAATTGTCGTCATGGTTCTAAAGGGAAGTAGAGAGATATCGGCTAGGCTTGTGGATCTAGCTGGTAGTCGACATGACGAGAGTGCCTCCTGTTGAAGAGATCCCCACAGCATGGCGTGGGAAGGGTGGTAGAACCCTGAATCCTAAATCCTTTAAACCCTAAAGGTGCGTTAATTTAGTTGCCCTAAACCCTAAACCCTAAACCCTAAACCCTAAACCCTAAACCCTGAACCCTAAACCCTAAACCCTAAACCCCATGTTGCAATCCCTAAGCCTCAAGCCATGTAGGCCCTGGAGCGCACGTCCATCCGTCCCAACGCGTCGCTGCCGAACCTGCGCGGCTGGGTTGCAGGTTTAGGGTTGAAAGCTGAAGGGCGTTTGGGGTTGCCTAAACCCTAAGCACTCCCTAAACCCTAAGCCCTAAACCCCAAACCCAAAACCCGAAACCCTGAACCCTGAACCCTAAACCCTGAACCCTAAAGGTTTTTTTTGAAAGGGAAGGGGGCGCCTATTGAGGGCTCCAGCGTCCTGAGGTTTCCATGGTAACCCTTAAGCAAGTGGAACACCTAAAGCCCTAAACTGCGACCTAGAATCCTAAAGCCTCAGCCCTAAACCCCAAACCCCAAACCCTAAGCCCCGAACCCCAAACCCTAAACCCCAAACCCGAAACCCCAAACCCTAAACCCTCGAGTCCAGAAGTCTGGAGGCTTGGGGTTTGAGGCAGGCGCTTGTTGGGGCTTGCGGCTTTTCCAGCTTTGCGGCTTTATGAAGTGGATTCCATGAGGTGCTTTCGGATCCTCCAAACGACACAGTATCGGGTTTAGAGTTTTATAAGGGTTTCGGTTTAGGGATTCGGGTTCAGGATTTAAAGTTTCTCGGGTTTAAGGTTTGTGAATCAAGGTTCCGGGTACCGGGCTTAGGGTTTGTGGGGATTCAAATTGGCGTTTGTTCCCCGGGGGCGTAGGGACCGTGGAGGCTGCAACAGCCTAAGCCCGATTTAGAGTTTAGGGTTTTTGGGGTTTAGGTTTAGGGTTCAGGGTTTAGGGTTTAGGGTTTAGGGCTGTGAAAATCTCGACTATTGGGGGAGAGTCTCGCCGACGGGCACGGATCCCACACTCCTAGGCTCCTCGGGCTTGGGTTTAGGGTTGAGGGTTGAGGGTTGAGGGTTTAGGGTTACGGGTTACGGGTTACGGGTTACGGGCTTCGGGTTGCTTTGGAAATTCGATTTGTTCTGTGCGGCCTACCACCTCAACAAACGTAGAACACTGAGGAATCTAACTTGCAGACCCCCAAACTCACCCCGGTAAACCCATAAATCCCTAAAAACACTATACACCCTATAAACCCTATAAACCCCATAAGCCCGATAAACCCCATAAACCCCATAAACCCTATAACCCGATAAACCCGATAAACCCTATAAAACCCCCTAAAAGCCCTAAACAAAACATCCCCTCAGCTCGCCTCATTGAGGTCTCCCGACCAGCGAGGATGTGGACGTTGTCTTCTGCGGGCATGGCTGGCCAGGGGTCGTGGAGGAGTTGCGTGAGCCGGGCTGCACCTATTCCCTCAAAAGGGTTTAGGGTTTGGGGTTTGGGGTTTAGGTTTTGGGGCTCATGTTCCTTAAAGCTTGGGGTTTTAGGGTTTGGGGTTTAGGTTTTAGGGCTTATTTCCTCAGCACTTGTCTGGCTCGTGGGCATCTTGTCGGCTACTCAACTCAAGGTTTGATGAGCTCGAGGCGCAAGCTGGGATTGAGCGGATCCGCATCGCCTTGAAACCTACAGTAGTCTCTAAAGGGCAGGTCATGGTTGTGGCGTCATGCTCGATTTCCGGACACAATGACACCTTCAATGCTGCCCAATACTCGGAGTGCGGACAGCAAAGCCATCCGGCTCTAGTAGGAATCTACGTCCCAGGCTCATGCTCCTCCTGGGCCTAAACCCTAAACCCTAAACCCTAAACCCCTAAACCCCTAAACCCCTAAACCCCTAAACCCCTAAACCCCTAAACCCCTAAACCCCTAAACCCCTAAACCCCTAAACCCCTAAACCCCTAAACCCCTAAACCCCTAACCCGAAACCCGAAACCCCCGTAGCTCTAAAGCCCAAGGCGAGCGATCTGGCCCCCTCGCCTGGCGTGCGCATGCGCTTCGCGCCGACCCCGCTGCCTGCCCCGACTTCTTTCGGGAGGTCAGTGCGCGGCCTGAAGGGATGAGTTTTTTTTTGTGAAGGGTTTAGGGAGTAGGGTTTAGGGTTTACATAGGGTTTAGGGTTTCAAAAGTTGAGGGTTTTAGAACGTAGGGACTGTGTTTCAGGTTTAGAGCTTCGGCCAGTTTTGAGCTGGGGGTCTTTCGGACGTTTGTTGGGGCTCTGTTGTAGATGTAGCTTGTGTGGGACTTGTAGGAGGCCTTCGAGCCGGAGTCTCTCCGTTTACTGACTAGATCGTTGGGATGGCATACCCCATGCCACTGCAGTCCCTTCTCAAGTACATGGCGCGAAGACCGTGTCTTTAAAGAGGCCCCAACAGGACCTGTTCAAGCCCATAACTTGACTGTAGGACCCAGAGTAGGGCCTTATTCCCATTTTTTTGGGGTTGAGGTTCCCGTGTAGGCCCCTTTAAACCGAAAAGGTCACCTTTTTTTTTTCTAGGTCGCTTTTTGGGTCTAGAAACCCGATATACTCTAAACCCCACCCTAACCCTCAACCCCTAACCCTAAACCCCAAACCCGAAACCCCATATACCCTAAACACTAAACCCAGAACCCTTTGCTTGCGAAAAAAAGAAAAACCCTAAACCCTAAACCCTAAACCCTAAACCCTAAACCCTAAACCCTAAACCCTATAACCAAAAAAGGCTTCCAGGCGGCGAGCTCTGAGTTCCGACCTTTAGAGACACTCCGCAGTTTCCACCTGGAAAGCGTGGCAACCCAAATTCTGCGGGGTTTAGGGTTTAGGGTTTAGGGCTTGGGGTTTAGGGTTTGGGGCTTGGGGTTTAGGGTTTAGGGTTGAGGGTTGAACAGCAGGGTTTTAGGGTTCGTGCACATCTGCTCTCATCCACAAACCCCGATTTCCCAGAGCAGCCCAGGGTTCGAAGGCACTGCAGAAGGGGTTCAGGGTTTAGGGTTTAGGGTTTAGGGTTTAGGGTTTAGGGTTTAGGGTTTAGGGTTTAGGGTTTAGGGACCCGAGGCTCCTAGACAGTGCTAATCAAAAGCTGAAAACTACTCAAAAACTACTCAACAATCCCAAGTTCCACACTTGGGATGTTCCCCCTTATACTAACAGTCCTGAATAGGGATTATAATGGGGGGGTACGTGGATTTCTACTAAGGACTGTTAGTACAAGGTGGAGCACCACCAATGCTAAACCCTAAACTTTGTCCTAGGCCCTGAAGTTTCAACCCTCAACCCTAAACCCTAAACCCTGAACCCTGAACCCTGAACCCTAAACTTTAAACCCTAAACCCTAAACCCTAAACCTAACCTGACCGGCCGCTTACTGAGGTGCCTCACTGCTCAGCACGTCGGTGGTGGTCCTCCTCTCGCCACTTCTGTGGTCCCTTGGTGTGCCGCCTTTACCCTTTTTTGGGTTCTGGGTTCCCTTACACGTAACCAACCCAAAAGGTCCCGTCCCCAGCACTTGCGGGGGTGGGGGGGAGCCTAATCCCTGAACCCTAAACCCCAAACCCTAAGCCCTTAAAGCGCGGCTCACGCCGAGAGCTGCGGTTTCCTAGGCCGTTAACGTTTTGAGTATGGGCAATTGGACGCTCAAAATTAAACCCAAAGCCCAAAATCCCAACCCAATCAGTAGCATTCTTTCGTGCTTCTGCGACAGGGCCCATGACCATGAATCAACCCCGAGTGTAGAGTTGTGGGCTAAGGCATGTTCCGCTTCAAAAATCTTAAGGCTCGGGCCGCTTCCCACAAGGCACCTAGAAGTCGCTTTTTGGGGGTCCTTCCCAAATTCAGGCCGTAGGCTTTAGGGGTTTTGCGGGGGGTCACGTGGAACGTGCGACCGACCCTAAAGCCTATAAATTCCTATGAACCTGAAACCACAAATCCGGTTTGACCCTAAACCCTGTAAGCCCTAGAATACTATAAACCCTAGCGTGCTTAGGGTGCCTGGTCCCAGAACTACATCCGGCAGTCCAGAAACACCTTTACTGGATGGACAGCGGGTGGTGCCATTGGATTTCTCTGGGACCCCCCCCCCTTCCCCCATGTGGGACGCCCCAACTTCGGGACAAGTCGCGCATTGTCTTGGGGGGCATGGCTATGACTGGGCACCTGAAACTCCCCTCAGCCTGCATCGGAAACCCCCCCCCCCCCCCCCCCCCACACCCATGGGTGTGGCATGATACTGGCTGCGCGGCGCGGCAAAAACGCCCCCGAAACCCGAGACTGACCATCCTGGCGCCCAAGACCCGTGACCTGACCCCTACACCCTAAACCCCAAACCCCAAACCCCAAACCCTAAACCCTAAACCCTAAACCCTAAACCCTAAACCCTAAGCCCTAAACTGCACACCCCCGTTTTGACCCACTCCCAGGAGCGGCCTCGACTCGGCATGGGAGGCCTTGGTCTCGGGGGTGTCCCTCGGCTCCTTTCAGGCATGCGGTCTAGGGTCTGGGGTCTAGGGTTTAGGGTCTAGGGTCTATGGTGTACGGCTCAGGGTTTAGAGGTCAGGGTTTAGGAAACGGGGTTGTGTGTTGAGAGGTCTGGGTTTTGATTTTGCTACGAGTTGCTTAAGAACCCCAAAAATGAAAAACATCTTCCTTATAAGGGCAATATAGGGATTCTTATTACAATTTTTTGGGGGCTCTTAAACAAACTGTCGTTTAGGTCGAAAAGTCTAGGGTGTAGGGTTCAGATTTAGCCTTAACGTTCAGGATCTAGTGTGTGGTGGTTGCCGTGCCTTAGCGCTTGGTGAGTTGGCTCTAATTCCAGGTTCAACTGGCTTAGCACCGCTCCACAGCGCGGACTTTCGAGGGCAAACCCCCATGAGCTTTCGGCATTTTCGCCTGCACCCTTCAACCCATGACCCAGGCGTGCTCTGCAATATCCCAGCGAGTTCCAGACCTTCAGCGAGGTTCCCTTAGATGCTGACATCATGGGGCGCCTCGGCAGTGGCCAAAGGGGTCCAAGGTAGAGGGTTTAGTGCGCTGCTATGGTTGAGAAAAAAACCGCGCCAGTTTACCATCTCCCTCACACTCGAGATCACCGTGTTCCTCTCTCTTGTTGAAAGGGCTCAGAGTTTCTACAAGGCTGACGCGTGCGTGGGTGCGTGGGTGCGTGGGTGCGTGGGTGCGTGGGTGCGTGGGGGCTGGGAGTGGGTGTGGGTGTGTGTGTGTGTGTGTGATCCTATGAGTGTAGTGCTGTCTTTTGGAAGCTTGAGCTTCCCCGCAAGCGAGCACCTGAACCCTGAACCCTTCAACCCTAATCTCAGAATTCCGAGACCCGAACCACACTCTTCAAGGTTTCCCACCCTCGATTCGTCAAAGCTTTGGACCTTCACCGTGTATGAGCTGACACTGCGGTGACCCGGCTTTTTAGGGCTGACTGGCTCCAGGTGCAGGGTCCCTAAACCCAACCCCAAGCCCTAAACCAGCCACCTTGCCTCTCTCTCCGTCTTCTGGGACAATTGAGGGTGTACCAGGCACACAAAGGGGAATATCGTATAGGTCAATCCCCCGCAAGAGCCCCTAACAGGGACCATGATGTTGAGAACTGGTGCTAGATACCCACCTGAAGGCAGATGAAGCCAACCCGAAACCCCGGAAGATAAGCCCCTCATTTCCCAAAGCCCTTGAGGCCCTTAAACCGTACAGCGAAACCCAAAAAGCTTGAAGCCCTAAACACCTAAACAACCCTTGAAATCCTGAAACCCTAAACAACCCTTAAACCCTAAAGCCGTAAACAACCCTCAAAACCCTAACGCCCTAAACAACCCGTAAAAACACAAAAGCTCTACCCAACCCTTGAAAATTCTAAAACCCTGAACCCCAACATTCCAAAAAGTACAAAAAAGGCAGCAGCGCCGTAAATTCCCCGACCCTGAAACCTCCCCCCCCCCTTAAACAAAGGCCCCCATCGCCAAAAGGCTTGGGCCCTCAACCCTGAACCCTAAATCCTAAATCCTAAACCCAGTACTGTACCCTAAACCCTAAACCCTAAACCCTAAACCCTAAAGCCTCTGCCCCGAAGCCAACGACAAGAGGCAGTGGACGTTGCGATACAAGCCCTTCCCAACAGGCAGGTCCGGGGATTCCGAGTCCCTACTCGAAGCCCTAAGTTGTGGTTGAAAGGGTTTAGGGTTTAGGGTTTAAAGTTTAGGGTTTAGGGTTTAGATTTAGGGTTTAGGGTTTAGGGTTTAGGGTTTACAGCTTTCAAGTTCTGGTGATAATGACATGTAGGGTTCAGGGTTTAGGGGCAATAGAAGTCATGCTGTAAACCCTAAACCCTAAACCATAAACCCTAAACCCTAAACCCTAAACCCTAAACGGAATGCCTGAACCTATGCCATAGAAGCTTAAGAAGACAGGAGCCCAGGCAATTCCCAGTAGCATTGACTTGTACCCCCTTATATTTTCATTATGCAGATATAAGGGGTGCTTATATATATATATAGAAGGGGTATTGACTTGTACCCCTTACATTTTCATAGTGAACACTACGCAAGAAGAGTAAACTGACATAAGCCCCTGTGTTATGTTGTTTCTGCTCTCGGTCTAGGCCAAGGACAAGGAATCAGTTCCTGGAGGTCCTCTTGACTTCTAGTGACCATATGATGTCTCTCCCCTCAAGCAACCAAGGAACATACAGGGTTTCCCCTGGGTTTAGGGTTTAGGGTTTAAGGTTTAGGGTTTAGGGTTTAGGGTTCAGGGTTTAGGGTTTAGGGTTTAGGGAAAGGCCCCGCGTCCCAAAGCTGGTTGGGTTTGGGTGTTTTCGGGGTTTGCGTATGCATCCCCAATCGCTCTAGCTCTCCGCGGACAGCCTGCACCGTTATGGCGCGCTTCAGCACCAAGCACTCAACTGCCACATGCCAACAGCGTCAGGTTCAAGAGCTACAGATCCTTTGCAATCCTACAACCGTAAAACTCATAAACCCCTGAATGCTAAACGCCTGAACCTCAAAACCTTAAGCACCACAAGCGCCAAAAACCCTAGAACCACATGCCCTCGGCACCCTGAACCTTATAAACCCTATAAACCCCATAAACCCTAAGCCCCTATAATTACCCTGTGAACCCTAAACCCTAAACCCTAACCCTAAACCCTATAAACCCTACAAACCCTAAACCTGAAGCCCGAAGCTTAAACCCTAAGCCCTCAACCTGTTAGCCCTCCTAAACAGACGGAAGCCCGTGTAAACCCTATAAACCCCTATCAACCCTAAACCCTAGACCCTGAACCATAAATAAACAGACGGAAGCCCGTGAGGCTATGCAGAGACGCGAGGAGACCGCTGCTTTCAAGCCGGGGCGACCTCGGGCAGTCGGGCCCCATGGCCAGGAGGGTTTAGGGTTTAGGGTTTAGGGTTTAGGGTGTACAGTTTTGGGTTTTGATTTTTTTGTACACATGTGAGAATCCAGTGGGGCATTAAACAAAGATTCCTCAACCTGCAGCCCTATCCGTCGCCAGATCTTCCGCTCCGCCGCGACCTTTCGAGAGCTGGTGCAACCTCTGAGGCGGACCTGAAGACTACGTAACCCCTGAAAGTCCGTTGTCATGTAATTAGTAGAGTAGGTAACCTTTAACCTTTTTAGGGTGGTATAATCCCCTGATAATCCCAAAGGTTAACCTTTAATTTCCCCAGGTCTCTGGACAACTAAGAGTCAGCGCTTTAGTATCGTCTAAGGTTTATTCGCTCAAGTCTTAGGCTCAGGAGCCTCTGGCGAGTCTACGGTGTACGTCACACGCGCTGCTCTGGGCTTTCGAGGGCTTACGGTTTAAGGCACCGATATCCTAAATTCCTGCCCATCCTAGTGCATTCTTCATAGCCCTCCTCGCTGCTGGGTTTCTCTAAGGGTAGTTACGTTGGCCCTTAATGTGGTCCCTAGCCTCCCTTAAAGTAAGAGTTCTGAAGTATGGGCTGCTGGGTTTTGCAGGACATATAAGGAGTGCCTAAAGGTCCCCTTCTAAGGGCACGTCTTCAGGGACGATGTGGGTACCCTAGTAAGAGTTTTGGGATTCGAGGGTTCAGGGTGGTAAGGGTGGTAGGGTAGAATTTAGGGTTTAGGGTTTAGGGTTTAGGGTTTCTCCACGCCAAGCCGCCACACCTCGTGTTTTCGGTCGTATAGAGCTCGGGGCTTGTAGGCTGCAGGACTCAGGGCTTGCCGGGTTTTAGGGCTTACTGGGGGTCTGGGAGTACCCCAGAGCCTAAAGCCTAAACTTTCCTAAACCCTAAACTTCCCGAAGCCCGAAACCCGAAACCCTAAACTTCCCGAAGCCCTAAACCCCAAACCTAAACCCTAAACCCTAAACCCTAAACCCTAAACCCTAAACCCTAAACCCTAAACCCTAAACCCTAGACCCTAGACCCTAGACCCTAGACCCTAGACCCTAGACCCTAGACCCTAGACCCTAGACCCTAGACCCTAAACCCTAAACCCTAAACCCAAACCCTAAACCCCAAACCCTTTCAGGGCCTTTACGCCTCATGCAGGGCGGACCTCAGCGACGGCTTGGGCCAGGATCTCTCCTGGATGGCGCCTCTGGCTGTAAGGGAAGACCTCGACGAGCCAGACTAACCCAGGGTTCGGGGTTTAGGGTTTAGGGTTAGGGTCTAGGGTTTAGGGTATAGGATTTAGGATTGAGGGTTTAGGGTTTATGGTGTAGGGTTTAGGGTTTGGGGTTTATAAGGGTGTACCAACAAAAAGATGTACCAAGACTTTGAAAACCACCCCCCCTCCTCAACCATAACCCCACACCATGCGGAGGAACACAAGTGTGCTGCAAACCCTAAACCCTAAACCCTAAACCCTAAACCCTAAACCCTAAACCCTAAACCCTAAACCCTAAACCCTAAACCCTAAACCCTAAACCCTAAACCCTAAACCCTAAACCCTAAACCCTAAACCCTAAACCCTAAACTTTAACGGGTTTCGGCGCCAGACTTCAACCGTAAATTCCACGGGCCATAGCCCTCATCCTCTAGAGCCGAAGTATCCTTTAAAGCAAGGGCTTGGTGGCTCGTAATGATGCAGAGCTTCAGAACTGAGGGTGCTCATGGCCAGTGCAGTGCCGATCTATGTTGATGTCTTTGGGGGTGCCTATGACTGATATGAGCCCTAAGTCCTATAAACCTTGAAACCCTAAACCCTGAACCCTAAACCCTAAACCCCTTAGACCTTGAAGCCTCAGCCCTCAACCTGAGACGAGCTCGTTCCAAAGCCCCAGAAGCTGAGGTGGAGCTGGATCTGCAGGCCCATCACCGCAATCTCCGCACGCCGCTCTGCTGAAAGCCTAAGCCCTAAACCCTTAACCCCTAAACCCGAAGCCCTAAACCCTAAACCCTTGTCCTAAACCCTAAACCGTAATCCCGACTGTTTTGCGGCGTAGGGAAGTATCAGACAAGCTGCTCAGCCGCCTAAACCCGAAACGCCGACGTTCACCAGGTCCAAGTCCATAAGGCCGTACTTAAGCCGAACGATTGCTGCTTCAGGGTTTAGGGTTTGGGCTTTGGGGCTTGAACCGACTGCACCAACACTACAGGATGCTAGAGAAGTATGAAACTTCGGCATGTAGGGCCGGCGGTTTAGGTTTTGGAGTAATTTTACCCACCTCCAACTACTGTATCCGGGCGGGGGGGGGCGGGGGGGGGGCGGGGGGGGGGGGGGGGGGAGGGGGCGGGGCGGGGGGGGGCAGGGGGGGGCAGGGGGAGGGGGCGTGAAACAGCTTTGGAGGTAGACGCGGACTAATTTGGGGTCCTCGAATTCCAACATCTTCCAAGTCTTGACCCTAACCCCTCAATCGCTCATGCCCAGTCTTGTATCCGAAGCTTTTTGGGCAACGGGAGCCGTAAACCCCTAAACCCTAAACGCCCGAAGTGTGTACCAAAGCGAGTCCGAAAGTCCCAAACCTAAACCCTAAACCCTAAACCCTAAACCCTAAACCCTAAACCCTAAACCCTAAACCCTAAACCCTAAA